AGGGGGGGGCGGGGGGGGGCACCCCGAGGTGGTCGTTTGTGGGGTCGGTGGGGTTTGGATGGGGCGTGCAATGAGCTGTGCTGTATGGGGGGGTGCGAGGTGTGCGGGGTTGGGGATCCGGGATGGGGGTCCTTATGGGGTCTGTGCCACAACGGTGGGTGTATGAGGGCGGGGGGAGCCCCCATGTGGGGGGGGGCACAGGGGGTGTGGAGGGATGGGTTGCCCTATAGGCCATGAGGGCCCCATGTTGTGCACAGCAGGCGCTTGGATAGGGCGTATGGGGTCCCCATTGCACACCTATGGGGACATATGGCCCCCCCCCTTGCACACCCCTATTAGATGTATGGGCTCCCCGTTGCACACCCATGTAGGACGTGTGGTTTCCCATTGCAGACTCCTATAGGATGCGTGGAGTCCCCGGTGCACACACGTGTAGGACACACGGGTTTCCCATTGCACTCTCATATGGGGTGCATAAATTGCACACCCATGTATGGGATGTGGGCTCCCTGCTGCAGACCCATATAGGACACATAGGCTCCCTGTTACATGATTCTATAGGGCATACGGGCTCCCCATTGCACACCCATGTATGGGATATGGGCTCCCATTACACACCTATACAGGACATTTGGGCTCCCTATTGTACACCTATACGGGACATTTGGGTTCCCCATTGCACACCTATACAGGATGTTTAGGTTCCCCATTGCACACCCCTGTACAGGGTATGGGTTCCCCATTGCACACCTATATAGGATATTTGGGTTCCCTATTCCACATCCATGTAGGGGATTTGGGCTCCCCACTGCAGACCCATGTATGGGATATGGGATATGAGCTCCCCATTGCACACCTATACAGGACATTTGGGTTCCCCATTGCAGACCCATGTAGGGGATTTGAGTTCCCCATTGCACACCTATACAGGATATTTAGGTTCCCCATTGCACACCCATGTAGGGGATATGGGTTCCCCATTGCACACCTAACAGGACATTTGGGTTCCCCATTGCACACCCATACAGGGTGTTTAGGTTCCCCATTGCACACCCCTGTACAGGATATGGGTTCCCCATTGCACACCCATACAGGATGTTTGGGTTCCCCATTGCACACCCATACAGGACATCTGGGTTCCCTATTGCACACCCACGCAGGGGATATGTGCTCCCCATTGCACACCCATACAGGACACGAGTTCTCCCCATTGCACACCCCCACCCCGTAACCCCACAGCAGTGGGATCTCAGGGGCCGACCCTTTGCCCCCCAACCCCTCACGGTTCCCCAAGGGCCACGTATGGGATCGGCGGGGCAGCGGGGTGGGGTTGGAGGCTCACTATCAGCGGGGCGCAGCGGGGTGGGGAGCGGGGCGGCCAGCCTGGGGGGCCGGGGGGGGGCCGGTGCCAAAGCGGGGCCAGGCGGGGCAGGAAGGAGGAGGCCGGGTCCGAGGCGGCCGTGGTTCCCGTGACCCCGTCACTGTTCCCGTGTCCCCATCGTGTCCTCCACGGCGGCCCCACTGTGGCTCCTGCGTGGCCCCCCCAGCTGTGGGCTCCCGCTGCCCCACCGCCACCCTTGTGACCCCCCCCCCCTGGGAATCCCCGTGACCCCATCGGGGTCCCCGCTGCAGCCAGCCTGGGACTGAGCTCCTGCGTCACCCTGGTGAGAGCTGGGGGTCCCGCTGCCCCCCCCGCGCCCCCCGCCCCACTTTTTCCCTGTTCCCCCCCCCATCTTGCCCCCACGGGGGTTCCTGGGACGGGGCGATGGGGGATAGCGTGGGGTTCCCCTGTGTGGGTGCCCCGTGGGTGGAGGTGTAGGGCCCCCCCCCGCTGCCCACGGGGTTCCCCCACGCGAGTGGGTGGGGGTCACGGGGGGGGGAACCCCGGGGTGGTGTCGGGGGGGGGGCACCCATGGGAGTGGGGGGAGGGCGCCCCCTGGCGGTTGTGCCCTGGGGCAGCGGGGGGGGATCCACCCAACCCATGGGCGTGGGTCCCTATAGGGTCCAACCCACGCGTGTGGGGCCATAGGGGGCCCCACTCATGTGCGCGGCTCCATAGGGACACGACCCACGCGTGGGGTTCCATGGGAGCCTTGACTCCTGTGATGTTCCATATGGGATCACGTTCGTGTGCACGGGTCCGTAGAAAACCTATATGGACCCATATAGGTGGTCCATTCATTTATATGGTCAGGCACTTGTGTGCATGGGGCCATTCGGGTTCCCACCTTGGAGTGTGTGACCAGACAGGACCTGACTGACGTGTGTGGATCCTAAAGGACCCGATCCCTGTGTGTGGGTCCATATGGGACCTGCCCCACACGTGGGTCTGTATGGGACCTGACCGGTGTGCATCGGTCCATATGGGACCTGTCCCACGCCTGGGAGGCTGTGGGACCCAACCCTGCCCACAGCTCCATGGGGACCTGACCCCCCCATACACACACCATAGGGAATTGCCCCCCCATACACACACCGTGGGGACCTGACCCCCCCGTGCAGGCTGTCCCTGGTGCATGGGTGTGGGCAGGATGGGGCCACGATGCCACCTCCCAGCGGGCAGCAGCCGGAGCTGTGCCATCTCCCAGCATCAGTTCCCATCAGCAGGGCAGGGCACGGCCCCCCCTGACCCCCCCCACTTTGCTCCTAATGCCGTCTCTCCTCTCCTGCACACCGCAGAGCAGGGCATGGTGCCGCCGGGCTGAGCGCTGGCACGCAGCGGGGGGGTGAGCAGAGCCATGGAGGGGCCCGGCCAGGTAGGGACAC